GATATCCCTATGAATCTGAACTTGACAATAGGTGATGGTTTTCCAACAGGGAGAAATGCCTCTATTGTTACTCCGCTCTCCAACCATATTTAGAATCTGCCTACCCCATATTTTGCCGCAATCACCTGATACCAAAGTTAATATTTAAATCTTAGACTACACCACCACCTGCATAACAGTGCGTGATTGCCTTGTTTAATCTTTCTTAGACCCAAGCCGCTTTCTTTCTAATGGGTACATACCTTATCCCACCGCAACAGGTGGAATTGTTTTGAGTCACCCATAGAGCGCCATAGAAAGTTACGCATAAGCCTCTCTATTTTCTTGGCAACTGCTGCTGGAATCTGTAGAATTGACATCTGATAAATAGGTAAATTAGACAGGCACACTTTTATTAGTGTAATTCTACCCCCCAAAGATAAATATTTGAATTTCTATAGATCCAGTTTAGTTTGAATCCTTTGGATGACTTTATCCCATATTGCAATAGGCAAACGCCCATCTGAGATAGGCATCCCGAGGTATATCATAGAAAAATGATCTACCTTACCATCAAGGATATCCGCCAGAGCCTTCAAGGTACCCTCATCACAATTAATGCCAAACACTCCTATTTTTTTAAAATTTACCTTTAAACCCAAAGCCACTTCACAATATTTCAGAAATACCGCATCAGCATATTGAAGGTGGGTGACACAAGGTCCATTGTTGGGCAATTGAAATTCAAAATGACCATTAGTCGCGGTATTATTGATGAATAAACTAAAGCATTTGGCATAAATGATGAAAAGAAAAGGCGAGAAGGGATTACCTTATCGAGTACCCCATGAGGCTTTAAAGAAACCAACTGGACCCCACTATGTAAAATCAAGAAAATGGCAGAAGATAAACAGCCAAAAATCCAACTCCTCCACTTTTTTCCAAAGTGCATATTCTTTATAATTTCCAGAAGCACATTCCATTCCACCCTTTTTATAGGTTTTTTCTATGTTCAGTTTGATAACTAAACCAGGACTACCCTCCAATACCCGAGAGTGTATGTATTCTTGGGCCACCAAGTCACTATCAGTAATAAGTCTGTCTTGAATAAATGCTGATTGAGGGCCCAAAATAATGGAAGGTAACACCATTTTAAGACGCTCAGCCAGCACTTTAGCTATAATTTTATACAAACTTGATAGCAAACTAATGGGTCTAAGAGCTATAAAGGTTGAATTGATACCTCTAAAGAGCTTCCTCAACCTTCTTCCCCGGACTTTGTGCCACCATCTCATCACTCAAAGATTTGCCGCCATTCAACATATTACAGGCCACAAGACAACCCGCACGACCATCACTTGATTGTAGACCCTCTGAATTCTTAGTAACCTCCTCCTTAGAATGTGCCAATCTATCTTTGAAACGGCTCACCGGAATCCAGCTTTTTTGAGTATTTAATTTTTGAAACTTTCCATCGTAACGGATTGCCTAATAAGCGTATGAATGCCTTTCCGTTGCCCGGCCGCCGAAAAATTCCATGCCGTTGCTACGTTCCTATTGTTAACCTTTTTTTTACGAAGGGAAACCATCGTCCATTCCCCTTAGGGATCATCAGCAACAGAGAGCCTTTTCATGATGCAACATACCACTTTCTGAAGAAATTTGAATAGCAAAATTATCATGACCAATAGTCATCCGTACATACTTAGGAAGAGAGATCCCGCGCACTTTCCAAATACGCACTCGGATCATACGCAGATCAGGGCCAGAGATGCTCTTCATATCAATGTCACAAAACTCCCCGCAGTAATTTGCAATCATATGAATATTTTCAACTAAGCAAGCATGAAAAGGAATACCAGCTATACGAATCCAAAGGCTCTCTTTTGGCAAATAAGAGCAGTGGGAAGAAGGTTTCTACTACTCCAAAGACATCAACTTCCCCCAAATGCGAACAAAATGATTAACCAGAGCAATCATCGCATCATTTCTGGATTGAAGCAGGAATACAATATTAGTCTCTCCTAATATCTTAACTTTAGGAGCATAAGACAGATTCCAACATCTTCTAGCCCAGTCACTTAGCCCAAAGATATCAGTAGAAGGAGGGGAAAAGTACCCCACTATAGGAAACTGAGCATCTTGAAAGAGGCCACCACCTGGATCAAACTTCATCGTGATCACATTGTCCTTCAAGTCACCCTCACGAACTCCTAGATCATCACCTACCGCCCCCCTCCATACTCCATCACTACCTCAGAGACCTCTATCTCCGAGGCCTCTATTTCTCATCGCAAAAATTTTCAAGCTATAGCAGGGGTTGTTGATCACATGGTCAGCACATTACACGAAAAGGAATCCTTTTCAAAAAGTGCTCTAGATCTGAAATCAAACCTATCGAAATTTCTCTCTTCTTGCGTCTCTCACTCTCTCTCCTTCCGTATTTTTCCAAACACCTCTAAACAGTGAATATGGTGATATTGTAAATAACAGATAGACACTCATTTATCATACCTCCTATGCACCTCATTTATCATACCTCCTATGCACCTCATTTATCAGGATTTTGGAGATGGAATAATTGTTGCGCAACTTATGTGAGAGGTTCGCCTCATGAGTATCATCAGGCTATTGACCCTATACTAATTGAACTTTTACACTTCATTTCTACTAAAGTAAACTCTCTTTCTCTCTCTCTCATTGTGCCGAATTATAGTTATAGTGTAATTTTGGGTTAAATCTGATTGAAAGTTCTCAAAATGGATAGAAATGTGAGTGCGTGTGCGAGAGAGAGATGGACATCAAAATTTAACCTGGTCTACATTACAAGATCTAAATTGTTTAATTTGTTAATCACATTATAAATGTCTTATTTCTAAGGAATCGTTTTTGTTGGATACATACTAATCCGTAATCGTCAACTCATGAAATAAACAATTAAATTGGTTTAACAGAAAAGTCAAATAGGGGATTTGTTAGTAAAGTCAAATAGGGGATTTGTTATACATTGGCCTCTTACAAACGCTACCAAACCAGCATCGTTGCTGGGACTATTTTACGTATACTAGAATTTACATATCCAAGTTTTGATGCATTTCCTAATTTTGCAAATAGGAGATCCCAAACAACCCATAACCACTAATAAAATATTTGATAAAGTCACTTGGGAGTGGCAACACCGAGGCTGAGGCTTAGGCAAGGCCCTTGGGCTGGCAACGCCATCCCAGCCCAGCCTGGGTCCCAAAAGGTTTGGCTGAGGCCCCACTAGACTGGTTTGTTAAGGGCCCGTGAGAGGGGGGGAAGGATGCCCCTGTGTGTGAGATAAAGGGGATTATGTTTCTTGCAAGCCGTACCATTGTGGTTCGTTACATAGAGAGAGACTTGATGTTGCATAGAGGTTGGAGCTTTTTGTTCTTGGTCATTTAGAGATTTCTAGGGAGAGACAGAGGAGACCTCTGCTCTCTGTAATCTGAGAGTGAGAGAGAGAGAGAGAGAGAGAGGTAGGATGCGTGTTGTTTACATATGTCTTGATCATCTTCCCCTCTAGGAAGGCTTCTTCTCTCTCTTTCTCGTGGGCCTCCTTTTTGTTAGGTTTTCTTTATTGGAAAAGTTGGGATGGGGCTCTTGAGAGAGAAAGAGGAATCCACGACATGAGGGGATGAGGCTCATTGTAGGGCTCACTACAATCCTCGTTCAAAAGATTAAAGTTTGATTATGGTTAGGAAAGATGGGGAGGTCCACTTATTTTTAGTAGGCTTTTTTTGGTAACAAAGTCGTAAATACTCGTCATTAGATTTCAAGCTGTCTAATTTATCATTTAATAGTTAAAGATGACTATGAGTTCTTGTTGTACACGATTTTTAATACACCCAAATAAATAGGGTTTAAAGTAAACTATTTTATCTCCAACAGTTTATGGGTATAGGTTGGGTCCAGCTGGATCCATACTTAAATAAAATTCGGATCCAAGTTTTGGACTCGAATCCAACTTGTCAAGTCTAAAAATTAGACCCATACCTAAACCCAAGGTTGGGTCTACCCGTCAGGTCTTGAGTCCGGTAAGATCCATTGCCAACCGTAGCTACTTTGACTCCACATAAACTATTCATGTTACCTATTAATTTATGGGCAAGCATTCCGTAGTTGAATTCATCGACTTCAAAGAAATTCATTAAAAAGTATAATAATGAGAGTCAAGTAAGAGAATCAGGGAAGGGTTATTATAAGAGAGCTCCTCATAAAATGTACTAAGATCTCCGTCTAGGTGCTGGTTTGTTTGGTGTCCTTTCTTTTTAGTGCCGATTCTTTTCATTGATCATTTCTCTATAATATATATGTAGGACCCAGTTTCTATGCAATCAAACCCTCGTATGTACAAATGTGAGCTTATTAATAAATCTATTTTGGGATGGATATTTGGACTTATTTTTTATGAACATGTAAGCCTTAATATGGAGATTTTGAATACGAAAAAATAAATAAATTTTTTAAATTAAAAATAATAATTTTGATTAAAAAATATTTGAACAGTTAATTTCCATTGTCTTTATACGATGCGAATCAATTGTGACCTTGAATACGAAACAATAAATAAATTTTAATAAAAAAATTTGGACAGTCGGTTTCCACTATTTTTATGCTATGTGAATCAATTATTGATATATATATATATATATAAAGAATGAATGTATAAGTAAAGTCCTTTGTTTCTCCCTCCCAAAAAAACCAAAAGTATGAGGGATGCAAAATGGGTGGGCACGTAAACCTAAAGGATGAGGGTGATGGACGAATCTTTAAATTGATTGGACCAGGTGCAATGTACGTTGTAATATTTTTTCGTCTCTTCCGGATTTTGTAATGAGGAAAAGCCGCCATCATTTACTTGTCCCAATTGACTTCAACGACTTGATTTGAATACAATTTCTTAGTCTACGTCTGATATTGATTGAGTGGACAACCCAACTGCTCTGCTGCAATGAAACTTTCGTCTTTCCTTCCCCGCCCTCACTTCCTATAAATTTCACACCATTTCACCATGCAAACAATGCAAACCCCCTCCCTCCTTTCTACCTCATATGCGAGAGTAGGAGGAATTTATCTTCCTAACGCACTTCTCAAACTTTTGCGAGTTTATGTTGTTGTTATTGTTGATATGGGTTCAGACACGTTGCCTTTGATCGAATTGAACATTGTAGAGGACTTTGAAGCCATTTTAAATCCTGAAGGCTATTTTTCTATTTGTGGATTTGGATCTCTTCTTTCTGGTGAGTATGCAAGTGAGGCTACGTTACTATTATTATTATTGAGCCTTCATGTCAACCCCAACAATTTTTTTATCTTTAAATTTTGATCTTTAGTACTAGTTTTGTTTGAGTAATGATTGTATAGGATCTTTATTCAGTTATGGGGGGCGGGATTTCAAAAAATCATCATTAAAAATTGGTACGGATCTCTAAAAAAGTTATCGTATAAGTATAGGACTTTATTTTTTTTGTAGATCCGTATTAAATTTAATAGCAATCTTTTAAGGTCTTATCCATTTGAGTGGGGGAAGATCCTGTAGGATCATTTATGTTTTTGTTTTTAAAAATGAATAGTCTATATTCACTCCCTCTCTTGAAAAAAAATCTATTTTTTGGGATTCTTTTTATTTTCTACACGAACTTGCACGTGAAGATCAATACGAGTCTTCCTGCAAAATTTAGAGTTACGCAAATTTTTGTAATAGTTTCTTCCAGAATAACTTCGAGTTTAGTTAATAATACTTTTGCCATCATTACGATGAATGAGAGTGATTATCACCTCTTTACACCAAAAGTAGACAATCTTTTTATATACTTATCTTCGTTTAAAATATATACATGTTTGTTTCGAATGAAAATAAATATACACATAGAGAGAGAGAGGGAAAGAGTTTTTTTCACTGATGAAATGGTATGAAATTTGGAGAGTGCAGAGAGGAGTGCGAGGTCCACATTTCCGGAGTTGAGGAATTTTAGAGCGGCCATCCTTCGTGATTTTCGTCGCATATCTGCTCATACCTCTGCTGTCTTCTATGACCGTGGCATCGCCAATGTCGACACCAAGGTCTGTCGCTTCTTTTTCCTAGACACTCAGGCCCATACTTCAAAAATATTATTTTCTACAAAACAAACCTTTGACTCGTATATAACTCTTGATAAACTCAGGAGATATCTAGTTTGAGTGTGGAACCCTGCCCCGGAGAGCACCTTATCGTCACTGTCTTTGAATTAAAGAAGTCAGAGGTATGCCACGCTTTCCTTTTTTTTTTTTTTTTTTTTTTTCTTTTCTGAAAAAATTGATGACTTTTACTTAATAAAGTTTTACTTAATCATGCCTGCAGGTAGCATCTTTCATGGCAAGGGAGCCTGAATTTCGTTATGTAGCAGTAAGTTGTTATGTGGTATCTAATTTTAAGTTTGAATTTTTTTTCTTCTTTTACGTGTAAATGATGATTGATGGATATATTTTTGTAACAAACAGGTGGTGCCGGAGGGATTTGATGGGATTCCTTTTCCTTATCCAGCTGTAATTCCTAAAGCTCTCTCTTGTTTTCATGAACGTCTATATTATTCGAGTCCTAGAAAAAAAAAAAATTATATTATCTGTTTCTATTTTCTTGTTTCACCGAGGGACATGTTGATGCAGGCGCTCTGTGCATCCTATGGCAACGATGAAGAATTTTTCCGCAAGAAATGCAAAGGTGAATGGCCGTCCCTCCCTCCCTCTTTTTCCCCGGTGTCATTATCTGCCATCAATCTAATATCCCTTCACTTTCCTTTTATTTTTGTCTGCCCTCTGCATCCTTCTCTTAATTGAATTTCTAGCCTTTACATCTACGTTTGGAAACAGAGCTTTACTATTTTCCGTGCCATCAACGATTTGAATGATCTACATATCATATGCATAATTCTCCTATTTAAACCGTTTACCATCTCCATTAATATTCCAGCAATCTTAGAAACAGTTGAGTTTCACTAGACTCTATGAAGATATAAAAGTTCCGACCTTTTGTTTTGATTGCCACTCTGTAACACATGAAAGCTTCATTTCCTGGTCTCCATATCTTTTTCCTTTACTCAGATTACTATTGACAGCATCAAGTACTTCAGATGCAGAACAAGTTTACACCATTTTTGCTTTGATCATTATATGTGTACACGCTTTCTTTTTGGCTCTTGATTTTTTTTTTTGGTGTCTTATCTTGTGCAACATTCTCGTTTCCTTCAGGAAGCCATGAGATCTATTACCAGTATTTTGGGCGTCTCAATATTTATAAGGTCTTTCGGGAGGATATCTTGCCATGCCGTGTTTATTTTCGACATTGGTAAATTTTTCCAAATCTATACTCTATAGTTTTCATTTCTCGAAAAGGATTGAGACAGGGCACACCTTATACGCATATGATTTTTTCTTGTGTGCTCTCTCTGCCTGCAGTATCTTGTCAGCGAAGAGCCTTAGCGAAGCAGCGTACGATAACTTCCTGGAGCACACCTTCCTGGCGGATCGAAAAACAACATTGAGAGAGTACCTCAACGGTGCCGGTTCAGGAATCATGGAAGAGAAACCTCCCGAATCTGTCACGGGCCGATATGATGGTTGACTGACTCTACAAAATTAGCAGAGGAGGCAAGACTGATGTCTATCCAAAATTTAGCAAGGAAATTTGGATGGACAGCCCTCTACATATTTATATGTATTGGTTCTAAGTTCTTAATTGTATGTGAATGGTACTGTATGAATGAGGTTATTGTTATGGGCATATCAAGCTTTTGGCATCCCGAAGAGTTGACTAGTCTCTCTGCGTCCTTGCAAGTTTTCTTCCATGGTTTTGGCAACGGGAGACCCTTGTCCTAAGTTCCTAGCGATGCTATTTGCTTTAGAGCGCTGCGCTTGTGTGGGTCAAATTATCCAAACGCCCATCCCTTCTTTGCCAAAAGTTGAATAGTCAAACTTGGACATGGGTTGTCGTTTGTATGGAGCCCAGGTTCTAAACAATTAAAGTAAAGCCTAGTGTATGAGAAATATGATTTAAATACTGGAAATCTTTGTGATGTTCTTAAAAGTTATTTTTATATTTAATTATAAAAGTTAAAGATACAAAAATAGAATGGATCGAACATATATATGAAAACTTGAAAAATTTTGAAAACTGACCATCCACAAATGCCTTAAAAAATGTACTATTTACAAAACTTGAAATCTATTTCTCGTGACCATGTATCTTCATGTTGAGATGATAAATTTGAGGATATATGAACATCAAAACAACCTCTTCTAGTGAAATTTTTTACGTGGGCTCTACTTTGATTGTTTAGAGCCTCAGCTCTATACAAATTTTTTCTTTAAATAAATTTTTGAGGTGGTAAAAAATTGTGAAGTAATAATTTTAATTGTTAAATTAAATGAATTGACCACCTTAAAGTAATATTTCTCTTTTTTATTAGGCAAGTTCTTGCTAATATCCCTCATGTGCTTTACACTAGCTTCTTTTGTTCTTTTTTTTTTTCCTTCCAAAATATATCTAGTTTGGAGCTCCAAGTTTTGAATCGGGGAGATTGTTTTTAACCAAGCGATCATGTAGAACTTTAAGTTCCGTACTACTTTTTTAAAACCAAAATGTTCAAAATTTTAAGTTCTAGTTTTCAATATGAAAACAACCAAGTTCACAGTTTGGAACTCGAATGGCTTACTTTGCTTTGGTCTTGAATGGGCTTACTTGTCTTTTTTTTTCTTTTCCTATAAATGAGCACTACTAAACTTCACTCAAGTTCAGAACCAATTCGTTTATAAAAAAATTGTTTGAAACTTGAAGTTCCAATTTGATCTCCCGGAAAAAATAATAGCATGGTTCAGAGTATATTGCAAAAAAAGCACAAAAAAAATGAGATTTTTTCTATTAAGATTGTATACTACAAGAACATTCACTTTTGACACGAGGATTTGACAATCACGTTTACTAATTAAATGTGAAATTTTACAAATTAAAGTATATTAAAGACACATAGTTTAGAAGATATTTTATTTTGGATCTTGTACCCCGTGCACCTTAACCCAATCTAACAGTTGATAATGACCACTGTGACTTCCTTATAAAAGAATAGATTCACTCATTTCTTTTAAAGTAAAGCTATCAAACGCTTGTTAGTTATAATAAGCAGTAATATCGGTGAAATTTCAACCGTTAGAGTTTTATCTGGTAGTTCAAAATACATATCGCTATATAAACTTTGATTATTTTTTATAAATCAAATTGAGATGAAATTTTGGGTGTATATACTTGAGACTAATATTTACCATATTAAAATATAAAAAAATACATTCAGGAATTTAAAATGTTCCCCGGTTATTTTTCAAGGATATTTTGTTCATTATATATTTTAAAAATATTTGTTTTATATTTTTTTTGTACGCCCTATTTTTAAAAAAAATTTCTAAAAAAAAAGATCAAAATTCCAAAAGCAATATTTATTTTGAACCATCTAACAGTTCCACTTATATTAGTGGTTATTATAGCTGCGGAGTGTTTGCTAGCTTTAATTATTATTATTATTATCAGTTTCCATTTATCCTTTCAGTCCAAAACAGAACTTAACACGGATTCGGATCGAAAGAGAGGAGGATGATAGGCGCTTGGGGCAGCGCAGCATAAGTTTGACAGATGAAAATTTGCCATGTTTCAGTCTCAGTGGAATCCAAATTTTCGAGGGCAGTGGGGAAATAGAAGTCCAACGCCGTGACAAAAGGAGCGCCAAGTGTATGCTGAAATGCCCTCTGAAATGAAAAAATGGAGGGCAGTCGTTTAAGGAGGAGGGGAAAAGCTCAGTTGGCAACCACGACCAACAATATTAATGCTATGCACACACACCATGCAGCAGTGGTTTCCCAACAAATACAATGGTGAAAAGTAGGTTTCTCAACCATCACAACTTATCAGTAAGCGCAGTGCCATTAGTAGTAGGACAAACAACCAAGCAAGCTGCTACTGCTCCTCCTCACCCTGTTTATTATCTCCAATCAAGGGGACGATGCATCAGCAACGCATTGGTTTCTCCTCCTCCACCTCCGGCTGGTGGAATCGGCTCCTTCAGTATCATTCTGCAATTGGTTCCCATCAGCAGGTGTTGCAATTATATGCAGAGATGATGAGGTCGAGGACATCCCCATCCCTAGCCCCAAATGCCTCCACCTTCCCTTCCATTTTCAGAGCATGTGCCTATCTGCCTTCGTCCTCTCTTCCACTTCGACTTCAACTCGGCCGAGCCATCCATGCCCATGTGTTCAGGTTCACAGCCCAATCAGATATGTACGTTGGCTCTTCCCTTATTCACTTTTATGCGAGCTGCTGCAAAATGAAGGGTGCACATCGAGTGTTTGACACTATGCCTCACAGAAATATTGTGTTGTGGACAGCGCTCATACAAGGCCACGCCCAGAGTGGTGAAGGGAGGAGGAGCAACAATAATGCTATAGACATGTTTAATAGGATGATGCGCTCTGAAGATGGAATCAGGCCAAACACTGTTTCCATGTTGAGCGTGCTACCCACGTGTGGGCGCTTAATGGAGTGTGAGTCTCTTCATGCTTTCGCTATTCGATCTGGACTGGACTCTGATTCAATGGTGGGGGCATCCCTCACAAACACCTATCTGAAATATAGCAGCATTGTCCAGGCTCTCCGCTTCTTTCACAGCCTGCCAGATAAGAATCAAGCTTCATGGTTGGTTATGATCTGTGGGTTGGCTCAGTGCGGTCTCTTGAGTGATGCATTTTCTCTGGTGACCACCATGTTGGGGAGCACTAACTGGGATCTGGATTCCACTGCAATAGTTACACTACTTTCCGCATCCAAGGACAAAGGGGCTCTAGAGCATGGCAGATGGGTCCACAAATACGTTATAAAAGCTGGGTTTGCTCAGGATGTTTTTGTTGGAACCTCTCTGGTGGATATGTATGCAAAATTCGGGTTTTTGGGTTTTGCTCGTCATGTATTTGATCATATAAGGGAGAAAAGCCTGGTGCTATGGAATGCAATTCTGTACTCATATGCTCGTGAAGGGCTGACTTATGAAGTTCTAAAACTTTTTAAGGACATGAGATTTCGGGAAGGTTTAGCACCCGATTCAATAACTGTCAGGAGTTTGCTGTTGGGATCCTCTTGCAGACGGGGAGCAGCAATCTGGCTTGGCGAGTCCATTCATGGTTTCATTTTTAAGGGTGGGTTCCACTCAGAAGTTGCAACCGTCAACTGTCTTCTGGATTTTTATGCCAAAGCAGAGAGGTTGCGAGCCATGGAAGCATTGTTTGCAGCTATGGATGAGAGAGAGAGGGATGCTGTTTCTTGGAACTGTGTAATTCATGGGTATGCTCAGAGTGGGCGTGGAGAGAAGGTGTTGAAGCTCTTCTCTACCATGTGTTCTACAGCCATAGATCCTGACCACTTCACATTGTCGAGTGTATTACACGCATGTGCTGCCATGGGAGATTTGTTGCATGGACAGTGCGTGCACACCCACATGATAGCACGAGGATATATTTACAATGCCATTACGAGAACGTCCCTGCTGAACATGTACGCAAAGTGTGGTGCTATATCTTCTGCATATCAGTTGTTTTATGAGATGCATGTTCGCGACACCATCTCTTTGAATGCCATCATCTCTGGCTTCTATCAAAATGGATTTGCAACGGAAGCTCTCTCTCTCTTCCACAACCACCTAACAAATTCCTCACTGATTGTTGATGCCATGCCCGACTATGTAACATTGGCACTGGCCATCTCGGCATGCGCACAGTTGGGTAGCCTGCGAGTGGGCATGTGCCTGCATTCTTACATTTTGAGGAACGGGTTTGAGGGCAATATAACACTAGGCAATGCCATCATTAGCATGTATGCCAAGTGTGGAGCAATCGAGCATGCTGAGCGTGTCTTCAAGAGGAGCATGGCAACATTTGAGAGGGACTTGACGTCCTGGACCGCGATGATCGCAGGATATGGAATGCACGGGCGAGTGCAAGAAGCTCTATCATTGTTTAGAGAGATGCAAGCAGAGGTGAGGCCAAATGCAGTCACCTACCTTGAGCTGATATGTGCATGCAGCCATGGAGGGTTGGTCGATGAGGGGTTAGCTTGCTTCAGGAGCATGAGGCGAGAGCACGGGCTGCTACCAGGTGCTGAGCATTACGCCTGTTTGGTAGACATGCTGGGCCGTGCAGGGCGCATGTGGGAAGCGTATGAATTGATACGAGATGATTTGTCATCATCATCATCAAGGGGAAAGGTGGATGGGGCAGTGTGGGGGGCCCTGATGGGGGCATGTAGAATTTATGGGGAGGTGGCGCTTGGTGAAGCGGCAGCAGCCGAGGCCATGAGGTTGGAACCAGGCAATGGTGGATACGGGGTGCTTTTGTCCAACATATACTCAGGGGTGGGAAGGTGGGAGGAGGCAGCAGAAATCAGAGGGAGGGTTGGGTTCATGGAGAGGAGACCGGGGTGGAGTTGCATTCAGGGGTGAACTTCAAAGGCAAGGTGATGAAATTTGGCAAGACAGTGTTAATAGACAAGGACTTGGGTTGGATCTCGCCAGGGTCCGAGACGAGTGAACGCAATCCAACTCCGGTGAGTCCCAAGCTATGGTTAAGGGGTCGACTCAGGGCTCGTCTGGAGGTTTTGCCTCTGGACTCTCCAGGCCCCAGAGCTGTGTTGACCCTTCCTAGCTGTGTCTGTAATTTTTAAAACACTGGAGTGTAGATTATGATTGATACGAGGGCAATCGAAGACTGTTGCCAATGTGTGTGTGTTTAATCCCTCTAGGTGGGTCCTGCATCGGCCTCGCAACATTTGAATTGTGGACCCTGCAAGGGACGTGGGCCTGGGGCTAGGGGGGTGGCTTCTTGAGGAGGGTCCAGAGGTGGGAGGCGTGGGGGGGAGTTGGGGGAGACATGGGGGGTGAAGTTTGTGCCACAGAGGAGTCAGGCAGCCTCATCATAGGCTCAGGCAGCTTCCTCTGATAGCTCTTTTGTTGTCCATTCTGTGCTTCAGCTTGGTCTAAGACTGAAAAGCTAATATGCGGGTGATGAGGTAGAATCTTCAAACAATATTGAAGCATTTGCTAAAGCATTATTTGGATCGAAAGCAAACAAATTGCTTAACACGTTGCTTGTCATCAAGGTTTCGAGCATTCTCGAGCTGCTGCTATTTAGGTAATTTTCTTTTTCTATTTCTCTCATCTTAAATAGATATAAGATTGGTTATATGTCTACGAATGCATTTGGTAATGTGGAAGAGGGATGTTTGGAGGGAGGGAGGGAATTTTTCACGTGGATAAAGTTCTTGGAGATTTCTTGGAGATATCTTTTGCTCCCTTCTCTGCATCATCATTTTATACCATTCTTCAATTTAATAGTACATGCAAATCAGTTCAAAGCACAATAATCAAGGAACTCATATTGGAAAATACGTAGTAGATTATACATGCAAATGATTTGTATGCTTCACAATGTTAAGGCAGAGCACCCACTGTCATTTTTCCAGACAGATGGTGAAGTTGTGCTGCTGTTCGTGCTGAATGTCCATCACATCTGAACTGCAGTTAACCACCATTGACCAACTTGAAAAAAGATCGTGGATGCCCTGGCTATATCTTGCATGGAATATGCATCACATGCATCTATACCATCCCAATTATATTGGTTATAACACCCCCCTTACGTTAGTTTTTGAAATGCTGACTCTGTGTGCAATTCCTGCTGTCTCAACTTACATTAAGGTGCTGCATATTTAGGCCACCTCTCTGTAATGTGGTCTGTGGACTGCCAAATCCCCTACCCATTTCAAGTCCCATGAATGGTGAAGGAGACAAAACTTCTGTTGCAGACATCTTCCATGAATTATATCTTTGTTCTTCTTTAAGCAATGAATCCCCAACTGTGGAACCAAAATCCAGTAAGATATCCAACCCATAATCCCTAGTCACCCTTTCTTGCCTAGCTCTTGCCTCTATTGACCAAGGATTAAAGATGAAAACAAGGCATTCACCGTTATGTATCTTGACACTATCGCAAACAAACAAAAGGATCACCTTTCTTTCCTTGTGCCCCTGGCTTCTTGCAACAATTGGTCCACCGGCTCCCCCCTCAACCTCAATGTTCATCAGCCATGTTGGCTTTTGCTTCCATTTTGTCCCTTGAAGATGATTTCGATAATCACTTGCCCTTCTCTGAAATTGCATTGGCCTTGATATCCCCTACTGCAATTCTGCATACCTCTGATTTAACTAACATGGATTCTATCATGCTCGCAAACTGGAATGCCCTCAGAGATGGGTGCCTTGGCTTGCTTGAGGCAAGGCTAAAATGGGGTGGCCCTTTAGCCATAGAACAACCTCGTTCAATTGGTATTCCTTCCCACCTGTTCTTTTTATTAGCTGAAGGCCCTCAAAAATAGGATAAGGTGAAGGAAAAAGTTGGGTTATCTCCAATTGGGTTGTATTGGGGAGTTTCTTCCGGTGCTCTATGCCTTTGTGGTGGAGCTTTCCGAGACATTTTGTACAGAAAAGCAAGCTTTGGTTTCTTTAGTGACTCGATATGTGAACCCCACCTCAAAGTTCTCATATGGTGGAAAGGGCATGGTGGTGGGTCTGTTGGGATCAGAGATCTAGTCAATGCAACAGTTAATGTTTTGGCATTTCCATTTATAGCATTACAGAAGTCGATCCCAAATAATTGGGAAAAGGCTCTAATGATGATGATGATGATTATTATTATTTGTACTTTTGTAGCATTACTGAGTATTCTTGGTGGACCCTCCCCACCTGCTTCCATCAAGCGCAGTTTCCTTCTTAATTCGGGATCACCAGGATGTGTCGCGAGAACTAGGAACATGTTGAGTTCATTGAGATAAGGATGTCTCAATATGTTCAAATGCTTTGCGAGGTAAATAAATGTTAAAGCGAAGCATACAACCACCCGAGGGACCGTGGAAAAAAAGATTCTTAGTTTCATCACCTTCGATTGGCATGGACAATGCTGTTTAATGGGACCCTTCATTGTCTCATATCTTGTTTGGTGCATACTACATCATTGCCCACCATTTCACCGTATGGTGATGACCTCAAGGATTATGGTTTTGTGTAGTTGTAAGAACTTTATCATGCATTCCTAAATTCTAAATGACCTCTTCTGTTGGACATTTAGTATTAGTTTTTTGAGCTTGACATAATTTCCTTGAAATGGCAGATAGTCTTGCCTGCTCAAATTCTCAAGTGCATTGAGTATTTGGATGGAAATAACCTTGGAAGGCCTTTGGCATTTATAGCTAAGTTGATAGGTTATGAGCCCTATCAGATCAGCTTGTGAAATGGGGTTTGTTGGAACCAGGCAGGGTGAGAATGCTGCTCGAAGAAGGTTCCAGCCCAATGGAAGTGATTATTGATGTTCTGATGACAGTTTCTGAGCTTGGTTGGTTGTCGAAAGTAAGGAACTTGCTTTCAATTGTTTCATTTAAAATTGAACGAGTCAACAGTCATTCAAAATGCCATTAGAAAAACAGTCATATTTATTGCTAATTGTGCAATATTGCAGGATTCTGTGAAGCAATTGACAAGGCACTCTACTGCAACTCAAGGGTTTTCTCAATCATGAAGATGCAAACATTAGGGCACATGCTTGTAGTGCCATTGACAACATGTGCCGCCACAGCCCTTATTTTTATGCCTCGCTTGTATGTAAAATGCATCTTGCACGCACACACATGACATCATACAATAGGCCAAACCACAAAAACAATATCCACATAAATGAGCTGAGATAATTTCTGATCCGTGCATCATGTTCTTGCATTCATTTATCCATCTATAGAAGAAAGCTGATACAAATTTTTGCCTTGCAGTTAAGGTTTAACATTCTCAAATTTTTTTTTTGGGCTTTGCAGTTTAAACATGATATCGTTGTCCTCCTCATAGAAAGATGTGCAGAACCAGATGAAAGAACCCGAAAGTTTGAATGTGTTGCGGTAAGTTCCTTTCTCTCTGCATGGCAGTAATTGCTCTTTATGGAGTAGTGTCACACTACTCTCCAAATGGGAATCTGATTCTCTTGTTCCCTCCAGCTTGGTAAGGCCGCATACCAAAATGAGTAATATATCAAGAGCTAAGGAGATTCGTTCCTCAGCTAACTAATCTACACAGGCATCAGAAGGAGACAAGACTAAAAGCCTATGCTGCAGGTGCTATTACCAATTTGGTCCATTACTAAAGCAAGCTGTGAAGAGATTCTCTCAAAAGGAGCCTTGCAGGTACGTAGTACTCAACGGTGTCTCAACGCTATTTTACGTAATGTTCTTTTTCTTTGAATTTTTTTTATACTTATGTGTTGATTTGAATGGAGGGCTCTGGTTAAATGTACACTTCAGGAAGTTGGCGACCCATTTTTCCACTAATGGTAATTCTCAGTTTCACGTATCAAAGATAACAGTTCATTTTTTCAGTCGGAAATATCTATCGAACTCTAACTTGATCATGTTAATTGGCTTAATTTCACAATCAATATCCTTCATATTATAGTGGCAAATTTATTCTTTTTTTTTTTTTTTGTGAAAAATCAAATTAGGCTTGTGTAGAAATTTGTTTTTTACAAGAGCTGTTTAGATTATAAAAGATATTAATTGCATGTAACATAAACATGTTAGTAGGATGTTAATGAGCTGTTTCCAAAGGTTTTCCTCTTGCTCAAGCTTTACTTATTTAATGGAATGTTAATGAGCTGTTTTCAAAGGTTTTCCACTTCTTCACACTTTACTTATTTACTGTAATTTGTCTTTTGTAATTCTTTTTGACATATGGTCTCGGGACTACTTGAGAAACTATGAAGTAGAAAACGTTATGAGGAATTCCAAAACATTAAGGTTTTCATCAAGGTTTAAAAAAAACGGACCAATGAGGATAGGCCACTCAAAAACCATGTCGGATCGGCCACTCAAAAACCATGTCGGATCGGTGGATCAGCAATCCGGATTGGTGAATCATCAAGTCTCAACCTCAAAAAATTTTTGAAAAGTACTATAATTTTTCAAAAATCTAGTTTTTTAGGTTTCTACAAGAAATCGTGACAATCGCATTATTGTTTAAATATTATTGTGTAAAAATTATGTAAATATTGAGAACCTATCTCATGTTGAGTGTTTGTTGTCTATTAAATTTATTTTATTTTGAGGAAGTTAAGGGGAAAGTTTAAAAAAGGTAAACGTTTGTTTGATGGAAGATAAATGTTCCTTCGAAAAAAGTTCTTTCTTGGGAGCTGGAATGTTATCTTTAGTAAAGTTTAAAAAAGTTTTGGGTACCTATTTTTGATAATTTGCTGGAATGTTAAAGAAGTTTAACAAAAAAAAAACAATATATATAAATATATATCTATATATATATATATTTATTAAATACAATAATATATATATTTTTATTAATATATATATTATTAATGTATATTTGTATTATGTAAAATAATATAATAAAAATATACTATATGATAGTTATTTCATTAATAATATAAATATAAATATATAATATATAATATAATGTAGTATGATACCAAATATAGATTAATAATATGAATATAGATATATAAATATATAATTTATTATATAATATAATGTAATATATTAAATAATATATAATATATATATTTTATTAATATATATATATTATTAATGTATATTTGTATTATGTAAAATAATATAATAAATATATACTATATGATAGTTATTTCATTAATAAAATAAATATAAATATAATATATAATATAATGTAATATGATTCCAAATATAGATTAATAATATGAATATAGATATATAAATATATAAACTAATATATAGTATAATATCATATTATAGTAATATTATATATTATATATTATATTATATCAACAATACTAATATTATGTATTATACAATTCTAATATATAATATCTAATGGTATAAAATATAGCATAGCATAAAATAATATTTTTCTATTATTTTGTAAATAGAGAATTGTGAATAATGAATAGTAATCTCCATGAGCAGTAATCGACAAAAAAGTTTTGAGAGTTTGTGTTCCTTGGGCCCCCATGAAACCTGAACTTTCCCATTTTAAAAGGAAAAAAGAACTTTGTGGTAAAGTTTGGGTTCTCAGTACTGTAGCAATTCCTGCACAGCCAAATGCAAAAGTGCTACAGTGTTAGGAATGAAAGGGGAAGCTTCAATGGTGGGGAGACGCTGGGTTGTGAGGCTTGAGTTATGACAAGGGGCTCATGAGTGCGAGATTCGGGTCTGCTAGGATGAGCTCCAAAGAGAGGCTTGAGTGTCTCGAGCTATGTTGTGAGGGGTGGGCAAGGATGAAGGCCTCTATGGAGGTCAGGATCTCAAAGTTAACAATGGCAGAGGAGAGAAAAGAAAGGGATTCACAGAGGGGTCATGGGGGAGGGGAAGAGGTACGGCTGAAGAGAGAGGAGATGTACGAGGGAAACAAAGAAGATCCCGAAGGAGGTTTGCAGGGGACAGAGAAATCAGAGGGGCAGTGGGAGGAGCCAGGGGTGACTTGCCGAGGTGGAGAAGGGGTAATGGCAAAGACTGGAATGGATTAGCAGCTGGGGGCGTTGAGGGTGACGTGAAAAGCCCAAGGGAAAAAAGGAGAGGAAGGGTTGCCCTCTGGAAGGACAGAGGCAGGGACAGGGGTAGTATGGGCTAAGGCTCACATCGTAAGATTCTCGCCTTGTGATGAGAGGATGGACGGTTCGGGGCTGACATTTGCGCCTCTAGCTTACTGTAGTCCACTCGCCTTGAGTCTGAGCATGATTGAATTCGTGGTCCTGGGACATAGCAGGAAGAGGGAGGGGAAGCAGGGAGCCTCTCAAGGAGGATTCGGTAAAGTAAGCCATCAATATGTGATTAGAGTGAAGGGGGAATGGAATTCGGGTCTAGGGTTCCAACCAAGAGTTGAATGGATCCCCATGGGAAGGGATTCAATTGATTTCCAGTTATGGGAACGAGGTAGCTGTGGGCACTCACAATGCTTTTGGATGTTTCCGGCATCCAAGTGTGGAGAGGGATTTCGAAAGCCTTAACCAGACCTTCTGTGGTTTGAAAGCACCAATGTCCTGCGACCAAAGTGAGCTCAAGAGATGCTCCTCTGAAACTCTCGGTCTTAAATTGTTAAGACTGTTACAACGCTATGAGAAGAAGGAAAAATTAATAGGATACAGCCATTTGAGAGTTTTCTACAACATAAATCATGTAGACGTTTGAAGGAGGGAAAATGAAAAGCATGTGCCTGAAAATCATTGCGTCGAGGTTTGAAGGAGCCGATGAAGGTAGAGGAGAGCTTGAGTTTCAGGGCAGGATCTTGAAAACCATGGAGGAAGTGAGAGAGGGAGGCTTGACCAGGTGGGTGGGTGGCGGAATGGGGGTGAGAAGGTGAGGAGAAGAGAGCAGGTGGAGCGACTAAAGAGGAAGGAGCCTCCGACCTCACAACTCCAGGGGTTGGCTGAAGAGGCACAAAAGAGGGGGCTTGACGAGGGGAATGTATTTGGTGTAGAGGAGAGGGGAGGGAGGGGGAGAGGCTCTATGAGCACCGCTGGATGGAGCTATAGTCAAAATAAAGTTTAAAAATGTAACATGACCATAAAATAATCTCTCTAACTCAATGTTTTTTTTTTTAATTTCTATATCAATTTAAGAGTTTTGATTTTTGAAAAAAAGTTAAATTGAATAAATTTAAGGGAAAATTTTGTATAGAACCTTGACTCTTCGTATTATTTCATGGTAGACCCTCCTTCCGTTTTTTTTTCAAGAGGTAATAAGAAATCTCTAAAGATTTCACCGTACCTCATCATCTCTTATCTCTCTCTTTTATTGACTTTTGATCATAAAAATTAGTCCCAACGAATCTTTTTATATCATCTCAACCTAAAAACTTTTTTTAACTATCTTTTCCCCTTTTTATTCAAAAAAATGTTTTTGGATTGAAATGGTATAGAAAGATTTGTTGGGGTTAATTTTTATGATCAAAAGTCAATAAAAGAAGGAGATAAGAGATGGGGGTACGGCGAAAATTTTAAGGGTTTTTTTATGTCGCTTAAAGAAAAACGGAAAGAAGGTATAGCATGAAATAATATGATAAATTAGGGTTCTATATGAAATTTTTCCTAAATTTAATGGAAGAGGTTGTTAGTAGAGAGAGAGAGAAATTTAATAAAATTGATTGTTTGAAGAGTGAGAGAAGAGAAATTTAGAGGAATTGATTGTTTGAATAGTGAGGGAAGAAAAGTTAGGTTAATTTAAAAGGGAAAAGTGTATATGGAGCGGAGGTTCTAAACAATCAAATTAGAACTTACCTCAACATTTTCATTAGAAGAGGTTGTTTTGATGTTCAAATATCATTAAATTGATCATCTCGGTATCAAGATGTATGGACATGAGAAAAAAAATGGATTTCAAGTTTTGAAATTAGTGCATCTCGTAACGTATTTTGGGACCGACAATTTTCGATTTTTCATTGATTTGCTCAATGTACACTATTTTTGAAGCTTTAAATTTTATAAATAAAGATGAAAATATAATTTAAGGCTATCACAAAGCTTTTCAGTATCGAAACTATGTTTCTCAACATTATTTGAAGTTGGGCTCTAGAACCCATATCTCTCAACATTATTTGAAGTTGAGCTCTAATTTGATTGTTTAGAGCCTTGGCTCTATACAAACCTAACCTCATTTTAAAAGACTTACATTTCAAATAAACAATAAAAACCTCTATGGTTATTAAAAAAAATTGGACATTCGAATAAACAATGAAAAAACTAAAAAAGTATTTGCAAAAATAAAAGGCAACGTAAATGTTTGAAAAAAATAGGAAACTATGAACCGATTAAGTGATCCAGTCCACTATAATAATAAAAAATAAAAAATAAGAGAAAAATTTGAAAATTCAAAATATATTAAAAAAATAAGTGAACCAGTTTTATGACATCAGTTATGTTAGAGAATCGATATGGACCGGCCGCTTTTTAGACGGACACCGCCAGATCTCGATCCTCATATGATGGGAACCAAATCAACTTTGTTGATTTTTTATCGTAATTTTGATTCTTATTGGCAATTTTTAAAACACTAAATCAAAGTAAGGTGTATCTTTAAATAATGTCAAAGTATGTTGTTGCGGTATCATAACTCTTTATGATGGTTTGAAATTTTATTTTCATCTTTAATTATAAAAATTAAAAATAGTATAGATTGAACAAATCTATGAACATTTAAAAATATTGAAAATTGACGGTCTTGATAATATCTTACAAGAGGCATGATTTTCAAGACTTGAAATCTATTTTTTCTCATGTCCATGCATCTTGAGGTTGAGATGATCAAAATTGAGGGTTTGTCAGCATTGAAATAACATTTTCTAGTGAATTTTTGAGGTGTGCCTCAATTTGATTGTTTAGTGCCGCGGCCTCACATAAACGTTTTCCATATATGAAACTAAGAAAATTTATAGCATATTAAAGTAGATACATCAATGATAACAATCGACTATAAGCTCTCTTGAAAATAAAAGTTTGAAATTTGATAAAAATGTTTTTTGAATGGATTTATTCATCGTACCAAATAGTTTTATGCTTCCCAAGAAAATTCACAGCAAGAAATTAAATAAACTATGAAATGGTCATACCTTCGGTGAATATAGATTAATTTATGAACGTAAATCATTGCTTCTATGAGTGCATTCCGTACAACTCCCTTGGCTAATGAGGTAAAAAAAAAAATGAAACTTTAGGATCCATCCAACTTTCACTAGACTCTCATTATTAAAGAAAAAAAAATGGATTTTGATAGGTCTGCTAAATATCCATCAATTTAATATATACAAAATTACGGAATTTGGAAGAAAAGAGAGAGGAAGGGAGGCGATATAGGTCGCTGTCCAACATTCTTATAAGGCACACAATCTATTATTTAAATTTATAGAGGCTGATACTTTTACATCAAATGAGAGAGAGAACACATCAAGTGGATAGGATGTGCTGTGTACAGAAACAAAAGCACTAATCTTAAAGGGTGTGGTTTCCATAAGGTTGCAACCTTTAACGATCCAATTAGGCACACCTTCAAATTTTATCATAACATATAATTTTGATGTAAAATATTCTTAGGATTATTTCAAAATCTATTTTTATATTTGACTATAAAATTTCAAATGGTTAAAATCAAATAGATCTATAAACATATGGAAAATTTGAAAATGGACGATATATATAATATATTGTAAGATACACTATTTCTGAGTCTCAAAATCTTTTTATTTTTCATATTCATACATCTCGATGTCAAGATGATCAATCAAAAAAGATTTTCAACGTGAAAACAACTTTTTCCATGGATTTTTGAGGTGCATCCATAGTTATACATTTTAAGGTTGGTTACAACCTTATATAAACTTTTCCCAATCTTAAAAGAAACAAAACTATTATTCCATACACCACTTCAAGCAAAGGCAGTCGAGCTTCCAGAGAGAGAGAGAGAGAGAGAGAGAGAGAGAGAGAGTCTAGT